CATCACCTTTGCCACTGTTTGACTCTTGGCGCCCCACATGGGCTGAACGCTTTACGGAACTCGTCCTTGGGAGTAAATTATGCCATAAACGAAGTGGTTAACGCACTAGAGGCGCTAGCGCCAGAGGCCTGTTTTGACGCACCTGCCTTAGATAACAAGGCTACACGCGTTCCCGCACAAAATGTATTTTATAATCGTATTCATGGAACTGACCATCATAAGAACCTCTCATGTGTTTTTCAGTAGGGGGGGGGGTCAAAATTGCTAGATGGAAAACTTGATGAAACCGTCTTCATGCGCACTCGTGCCAACTGATCTGAGGAGATCAAATCATTTCTTGCAGTTTTGGGATGAAGACCAATAGCTAATATGGAAAAACTTGCCTTGAAGAGCATCCCGGGGAGCGGTGCTCCAACGCTCTCAATCTTGTCGAACTCATAAGGAGACAACGTGCATAAGCCTCCGAGTTCAGTCATGCCATATGCTAAAACTTAGCTAAAAAACCAGGTAAGGTAGGGTTCAAATTTTGCAATGACGCTCGTCGACGCGCCGTAACGCGCTGCAACGCGCGTTGACGCCCTGCATCTGCAAGCTCGTTTCAGGGCTATGGGCAGGTGATGGTATTCGGGATCGGCGCTGGCCGCTAGTGCTTTGAGTACAGGAGAATAGGATCAAACGCGTTGCCTGATCATACAGTATGGGCTCGATTGGTGCCGGGCCGACCGCTGGATTTAGGGAGAGTATAGAAGGATATACTAGGGATCACACTGTGAGTACACTCCTATTCTCCCGCCCTTTCACAAAGCAGTAGCGGCCAGGCGCCAAGTCAATACCCTCTATGCCTGCACTGGGTCGCGGTTGCAATTGTAGCGCGCCGTCGCGCGTTAACGCGAATTATGAACCTGCCGTTGCACGCAAAACTTGGATCCAGGCAAGCGAGTAAGTCAAAAGCAATTTTGAAAGATAATGGATCTTACATTGTCTCAAATCCTTTAGGTGCATTTTCCGCTTAGCATAATTCGCCAAATTTGCGTCAATTGGTGCACCGGCCACTAGCAGTGATCGAAGGCTATTCGTCTGAAGCGCTTCTAGTGCCGAATCCATTGCAAGCCACAAGACCATCGCAGGCGTGATATGTGAGACATTAATCTTGAATGGAAAAGTACAGTAAAAACTCCAGTCAATTGCGAATAGAAATGCTTACATTCAGGTTTACTATGTTATCCACAAGAGTTTTCGGCGACACTTTGGACAGCATGTAGACAGCAGCGCCATTAACCAGTGCATAGTAAACGGATATAACTCCGTATATATGGGAAAGTGATAGCGGCAGAAGAAAACGTTCCCGTGGTTGAACAGGACCGTAGAGTGGAAGGCTCAGCTGTTGAAGATTGATGATCAGCGATCGATGAGCAAATTCAGCTGCCTCAAATAATTTCTATAAGTTTCGGTACACAAGTAATATGACAGTTAATGTCGCTTTGATTTGTTTTCTTTCTGTTATTTCCGATTCTTTTCCTGGCAGTTTCAACACCCAGGGCAAATTCACGCTCTTCATTTGGGCGTAGCCAACAGATATGCTATCTTCATATACTTGATAACTTAGTCAGTCGTGGCGGTGTTAGGAGAGACGGAATGAGCCCGCCTCTACCAAAGATGATCGGTCATTATCGATTCAGAGAGAAAACAACCAGTGGCGGAAAGGTCGTGAGTGAGCCTCGTACATCAGTCTTGGTAACCGCCCCGACTAATTGCCAGGATACCAACTGCAGGTGCTCCTTTTTTTGAGATCAGAACAGGGGGACGCGCCATAGGTAAATGCATGGAAGTTAGGCTCCGCCTTCATAGGAGTAGCGTGAAATGCGCATTTAAATGCATCCGATTCATTACAGCTTAACCGTTCTTGTTCTATTTTCCTATTATTTTTCCTTTCTTTTATTTACTTGGACACTGACTATTATTATTTACTAGTGCTAATGCTGCTTTTGCTGTTAGTTACGTATTTCCTCGGCATTTTTCGTTCAGTTACTTAAAATCTTTGTTACTACTTAGTTACTTAAAAGCAAAATGAACAAAGTGAAAGGTATCTACATCCTTCTTTTTTTCCATAATCCTTCAACATTCATGGTACGAATGCAAGCACAGAAAAAACCCTAGGCGGGGACCAATCCGCGATGTGATTCTTGGATCGGCGTGCAGGGAGGGTACAACATCGTTGTG